TGGTCTGGACAACATACCTGATATAGTTTTGCAGAAGTGTTCTCCAGGGCTGTTGTTTATAATTTTAAAAATATTCAACAATAGCGCTTATCAGAGTCTTGTTTTCCAGCCTGCTGGAAAGCAACATCTGTTATTCCTTTTTTCAAAAATTCTGAAGAGCAATCTGACTCGTTTTACTACTGCCCTATTAGTTTTCTTACTATTATAAGAAAGGTTTTTAAGTCTTTTATTAACAAACACTTAATCTTTCATCTTGAATCTAATTACTTACTTTCTGATCATCAATATGGATTTCGATGTTCTTGTTCTACTATTGATTTGTTAACAGTAATTACCGACAGGTTTTATCATGCATTAGATAGATGTGGAGAGGTTAAGGCTATAGCTCTTGACATTTCTAAAGCTTTTGATAAAGTTTGGCATTTTGGTCTTCTTCATAAGCTCTCTTTTTACATGCTGTTTATCAAGGATAACTTTTATACTATGATTGGTAAGGAAGGATTCAATAATTTTAGAGATGTTACCTGATACACAGGTAACATTTTTAAAATTATTGAATTCTGTCTTACCAATTGTAGTATAAAAGTTTTTCTTGATTAATATCTATTCTTCCTCTTCTAGGAATAACTTTTACTATCAATCTTTCTTGAAAACAACATATCAAATCCATTGCAAAGTTTGCATATGCTAAGGTTTCATCTCTTTATCGTGTGCACCACTTACTTACTAAGGCTTGTATTCTTTATCTCTATAAATCTCAAATCCATCTTTGTATGCAATACTGTTGCCATGTCTGGAGCGAATCTTCGGATGATATCTTGTCTCTTTTAGACAAGGTTCAAAAACGCATTGAACCTTGTCATTGAAACATCCAACCATTATGACATTGTCATAATGTTGCTTCTCTTTTCTATAAATATTATAATGGGCACTGCTCTAAAGAGCGCCACTTGTGCCATCTAATAAAATTCATGTTTTTAATACTTGTCATTCAATTAACTCTTATTGTTTTACTGTGACTGTTCCTAAATGCTCTAAAAATACTTATTTGTCTAGTTTTTCACCTCGAACATCAGTTCTTTAGAACTCGCTTTTTTTATCTTGTTTTCCTGATTCATATAATTTGCAATCTTTTAAGTCGTCTGTTAATTGTTATCTTGCTCTAAAAATTTGATCTTTTCTCTTCCAGTAACTTCCAACTCTAACAGTGGTTGCCTGCAACCTTGTTGGAAGTGAAGGTAAATTAAATTAAACAAAAGAAAACAACTTCATTATTTAGGGAAAAATGTGCACAGATTGTAAAAACAACAAGATCTTGCTTAACAATTGTGCATTAGTGAAAAAACAAGAATAAAAAAATATTGTGTTATCTTTAAAAATATTTACTCATTTTATGCTACTATGACATTCATGTATACGTATATATATATATATACATATATGTATTAATATGTTTTAATTTTTTTAATATATATATATATATATATATATATATATATATATATATATATATATATATATATATATATATATATATATATATATATATATATATATATATATATATATATATATATATATATACATAAACAAAAATAACAATCTTTTTAAATTTTTTGACAAAATGATTTATCAATCACAATTGTCACCATAAGGTCAAATGACAAAAACTTATACAATTTTGTAAAAATTTTTATTTAGTTACATTTAAAATTACTATAGCATGTTACTACAGTTACATAGAATAGAATATATAATTATTGGGTATGAAAAACTTAAATATGAAGAGGTGTGAAATAAGAAAAAAAAGAAAAAAAAAAAAAAAAAGACAAAAATTTATATTTAAGTGAGCAGTAGTTATAATGGAATCAAAAAATAAGGTAAAAAAATTTTAAATCAGTTTTTTACCTGTTGAGTGAAGATTTTTTTAATTTTAATATAATTATTTTCTTTGATTTTGAATTTGTTCAATACCATTATTTTCTTTGATTTTAAGTTTGTATTTAGAGTTTATTTTTTTTTGTATTTACTTTGTTATTTAATTTGTTTGTATTTACTTTATAAATGATTTATTCAAGGAGAATGATTAAAAATGATTAATTTAAAAACATTTTTTTTGGCATTTAAGATCTCGTAGCAAAATTCAAGCTTGAGGTGGCCATAAATCTGATTATATTTTGAAAAAATAAAACAAAGTTGCTTGTGAGAACTAATATAAATTTTTAGAAAATAGGAACAGATTTTTTTTTGAAACTAGGAGGCGTTGAAACTAGGATGTACCTTAACTCTTTGAGTTTCACATATCTTTATATTCATCTTTTTTAAATCAGCAGTTGCATGTAACAATCAGTGCTGGTGTCATTTTTTGTTTTTGTTTACGCCCTGCTGATGAGCTGATTATTAAAAATATATCAAAACTGCTGCTGATCTAATACTGATGTTGCGCCAATGCTTGTGTGTTATCGAGGTTTAAACTTCATTTTAATTGTTAATACATATAAACATACATAACTAATATAAACATACATAACTAATATAAACATACATAACTAATATAAACATACATAACTAGTATAAACATACATAACTAAACATTCTTATGCTACTAAATCAATTTCTGTTTAAATTTATTTTTTTTAATGAGCCAATTAAAAAGTTATTTTTAAACTTACTTTCGGCTTAATTTTAAATAAAAAGAGATAAAAAAAATGATTTAAAGCATAAAATGTTTTCAAGCATCAAATGAGATGCTAAAAAAAAGTTTAATGAAAATTTTAAAACTTTTAAAAGTATAATATATTAATTTTTTTAACTTTTAAATGTATAATATATTAAATTCTAAAACTTTTAAAAGTATAATATATTAAATTTTAAAACTTTTAAATGCATAAAATATTAAATTCTAAAACTTTTAAAGTATATTGTACTAATTTTTAAAACTTTTAAATGTATAATACATTAAATTTTAAAACTTTTAATTGTTTAATATATTAAAAACAAACAAAAAAAGTGTTTCTCATAAAATAATAAAAAAGAAAAAAATATTTTCTCACTTTTTTTATTTCTGCATAATATAAAAGTATCTTTCCAGCAAGCAAACATAGCTGATCATCAGATGAAGATGTTGGAATTTGTATTAGATAATCCAAAAGTTGAGCCTAAATAAAACTAAAAAGTATAACATAAATAAAACTAAAAAGTATAACATAGACGCATGAGTGTATCTTTTTAAAAGTTGCATGTTTAAAATTTAAAAAAATAGAGTTTGTAATAGTTTTCCTAAAGTCAATTCTATAACTTAGTAGAACTTTCCTTATGTCAGTTCAATAACTTGGGAGACATGAAAAAGACATCCTATTGGCTTAATAAAAACAACAACTATTTCATTTAATGAAAACAATTAGATGAAAGTGAACCTGGGTACCAAAAAGTCCAAGGGAGCAAAGAAAAGGGTAAAAGACAAGCATTAAAAGTTTCAAATTTCTGGCTGACCACAAAGATAGAGCTTCTCAACAACAGGTGGCTCAAAAAACTGTAGCCAGCAATTATTTAATGCATATTTAAAAAATAAATAAAATAAGTAAAACATAAAAAACAAAGATACAAGTTTAAAAAAAAAAGATAATTCCAAAATTTTCAGACAAGCAAAACGTAGTTGTTAGAACTAAGTGCAGTCAGCTGTGTCAAAATTTCAAAAAATCAAAAGCCAATCATTAACAAATCTTATTTTATGTTAAACCATTCCAGTATCAAGGGAATCGATATTGGATTAGACTTTACATAAGCAATGTAAAATCTAATCCATTTACTGTTAAACACCAAATAAAACCAAAAATTAAAAAAAATAAAGTAATAATGGATTGCATTTTCCAGAAAATGGCAGTTCTAAGTCCTTTTTTGTGCTTTGTGGACTGGCTATAAATCAAGAAATTTACTTTAACACATGCATTAAAAAGAGACTTATTCCATTCATCAAATGTATCTTTTAGATGATACATATCTATTCTGGCCCAATTTAATATCATCTCACTATGCAAAAACAGCCATTATGTACAAAAACTAGGAAAATATGTCAAGAAAGTAGATAAAATTGCAAACTTGTCAGAATGTCACCTTTTCGAAAATATTTGAAACTATTATGAAATTTTTTATAAAAGTACATTCTAGAATGAAGTATTGCCTTATTAAAGTTGATATCTAGAATGAAGTAACAAAGTTGATAGCAAAAATTATGCTTCGAAAGCTCATCAGCTTTGAAATCAAAAGTATGAAGTATGAGTGACAGGACTAGTGAATAATGTTAGAAGAAATAGTTTAATTAAAAATAACTAATTATATATATAAAAACAATAATAAAAAAACATTTTAAAACTTTTTAAAGTTTTGTCCTATATATCCAGTCTCCTTTTTTAGCCATCATTCATTAACACTATAGCATAAAATAAACCAATAAAACCTTAGAGACTGTTAGATTTTCATCTTTTTCATTTCAATTTAAAGGTTTTCATAAAATAATTTGGAAAAATTATATAATAGCCTAATTGAAACAAACTCTAACACAATAGCTGCATTACTGTGTCAGTGATGACCATTTAAAAAAAAACGGTATAAAATAGTCAAAAAAAGTTTTTATTTTATTTTAGTAGTCACAATAAAAATAGTACAAAATATAAAATAGTGGAAAATATGTTTGCATAACTTGCATAATATAGATATAACTTGCATAATATAGATAAATAAGAGATATACTCGCATATATAAAATCATAACTTGCAAAGCACATATAAGAACATAAAATTGCATAATGATATGTGAGAGCATAACTTGCACAATTTTATAAGAATTAGCATAGCTTCTTTATTTCCCTGTCCATATTTCCAAATTAATATTTGAAAGAATCATAAAATATATAGAAATTAAGACTTCAAAAATTCGCCAGTAAGTTTTTCTCTTTTGCTGTATTCCTCTAAATCTTTGTAGAACCATGTGAAAAACATGATGATGGAACATATCAGCTTTAGTGTGACAAACATGATGATGGAACATATCAGCTGTAGTGTGACAAAAAAGAGTCACAACAACTTTATTGACATCCAAAACCTGTTATTTTAAAAACATCACTTAAAAATTAAACTTTTAGAAATCCTAATGTCACAAGAACTTGCCTTAAAAAACTTATTCATTAAAATCATTTGAGCAACTATTCATTTTATTCAAAAAAATTTGAAAGTTTTTAAAAATCTTTTAATATTTTGTAACTATAAAATAAACTTAATGATAACTTAATAACTTTTTGTCATCTTAAAAAACCACAAAAACTCTTAAAAAATTAACTTTCCTGACATTCTCTGATTTTACAAACTAGAGATGGCTCTTTTACTTACCTTCTTTTACTTACACAAGTTAATTTTTATGAAAAAGTAAATTACACAAGAGATTTCAATATAAATTTACATTTCTGTATCAGTAATTAATTTTTTGAAAGGACTTAATAATGTTTTTTTATTTCAAAAGTAAGTTATGTAAAAGAAGATTACATCAAAAAGTAATTTACTTTTACCTTTAAAAAAAAAAATAATAAAAAAAAACAAAACAAAAAACCTATTTACTTTTACATGTAGAAGTTAATTATTACTTTTTAAAAATTACATTACATAACAAAAAACTTTTTCAAATTGTAATTTACATTTAGATATAAAAATAACTTATTTAATAATAATTATTTAATAATTATATTAATGTAATTATAAAAAAAAACTTTCATATGAAAAACTTGCATATGAAAAATTTGCATATGAAAATGAATTACATAAAAGTAATATGCTACCAAATATAAATTAATTTTACAATTTAAATAATATTTTTTAAGTCTGCATTTTTTATTTTAAAAGTAATAAAAATTTGTATTAAAAATAAATTATATAAGATAAAATTTAAAATAAATTTTTTATTTTATATAATTTGTAAAATAAACTAAAAGTAATCTATATAAAGTAAATTTTCTTATATTTTACAACAACTTTGAGATCATCTTCTACAACAGTAATGCAAAAAAGTAAAGTTAAGAATTCAGACTAAGCTGAAACATGGCAGTAAGCAGAAGGCGCATATACCCACGGGAGACTCAGTAAGAGTATTTTACTATTGAAACTGAAACTGAAAGGTATAATTGTCATAATTGCATATTTGTCATAATTGATCCATTGCTTGACATTCGTATCACTACAGCTTTGGTATCTAAAGAGATTTCCTGCTTAGACTCTTCTACAGCTTGTGGTCCGGACAACATACCTGTTATAGTCTTACAGAAGTGTTCTCCGGAGCTTTCCTCTATACTTTCAAAACTATTTAACAAATGCTTATCAGAGTCTTGTTTCCAGCCTGTTGGGTAGCGGCATCTGCTATCCCTGTTTTCAAAAATTCTAGAGAGTGATCTGATTTGTCTAACTATTGTCCCAGTGTTCTTCTACTAGTCTATTATAAGCAAGGGTTTTGAATCTTTAATTAACAAACACTTAATCTCTCATCTTGAATCTTTAATTAACAAACACTTAATCTCTCATCTTGATTCTAATGACTTCTGATTATCTATATGGATTTCAATTTTTTAGTTCTACAGCTGATTTGCTAACAATAATAACTGATAGGTTTTATCGTGCATTAAGTAAAAGTGGAGACGTTAAGGTTATCACTCTTGACATTTCTAAAGCTTTTGATAAAGTTTGGCATGTTGGTCTTCTCCATAAGCTTTCTTCTTACTGTGTATCTGGTAACATCTTTAAGATTATTGAATCCTTCCTTTCCAATCGTAGTATAAAAGTTGTCCTCAATGGACAGCTCTCTTCTTTGTATCCTGTAACTTCAGGGGTTTCTCAAGGTACTATCCTTGCCCCTATACTCTTTTTAATTTACATTAATAATCATTTCGATATTCTAACATATAAGGCAAAATTGTTCGCTGATGATACTACAATTTATTCTTGCCTTGATAAAAAGCCAACACTCTCTGATTACTTGGAGGGGGCATTTGAGCTTGAAAAGGATCTCACTTCTGTTACAGCAAGGGTGTCACAGTGGCTGATGAACTTTAGTTCAGATAAAATCCAATTTTCTTCAACCAATTGTAATCGCAATAATTTAGATCTTCCTATATTTATGAACGGTAAAGTACTAGATAAGTCAGCCTTCATCTTATAGGATTAACTCTTACTTCCAATCTTTCATGGAAACCAAATCTATTGCAAAATTAGCATCTGCTAAGGTTGCATCTATTTATTGTGCTCCACAGTTTCTTATTACGGATTCTATTCTTTATCTCTATAATTCTCAAATCCATCCTTGTATAGAATACTGTTGCCATATCTGAGGCAGATCTTCCAATGCTGCCCCTTCTCTTTTAGGTAAGGTGGAAAAACAGATTGTAAACATAATCGGAACTATTCTTGCAGCCAACCTCCAACTATTATCACATCCTCGTAATGTTGCTTCTCTTTCTCTAATACTTTAATAGGCACTTCTACAAATACTATAATGGGCACTGCTCTAAAGAGCTAGCGCCTCTTGTGCAGTCTACTAAAATTCATTCTTGTGTTACTCGTCATTCAATTAGTCATCCTTTTTCTGTGACTGTTCCTAAGTGCTCCAAAAACTCTCATTTATTTAGTTTGTTTCCTCGAATATCAGTTATTTGAAATTCGCTTCCTTCATCTTGCTTTCCTGATTCATATAATTTGAAATCTTTTAAGTCATCTGTCAATTGACTCTTTAATCTTTTCTTTTCTAGTAATTTCCAACTCTCATAGTGTTTGCTTGCAGTCTTATTGGATGCGAAGTTGTTATAAAAAAAAAAAAATTAATTTTTACATTAAAATAAGTAAAAGAGCCATATTGCAAAATATTCTTTGAGATATAATCAATAGATTCCTGACTACATATCAAACCACAAACCCTAAAATAAGTAAAATTTCTTTACCCTGCTTGTTATAAATTCCTGATTTTCAATCACCAACAACTCTATCGTTTGCAGTGCTAATCTTTTTGTTTCATCGTCATGAGATTTACAAAGTGTTTCCAATGCTGATGCTTATTAGTAAAAATACAAAAAAAAAAAAAATAATAATAAACTTTAGACTTTTAAATTTAATTAAAAAAAAAATTAGTTAAAATTTTTTTTTTAAACTTTATAAACTTTTAATTTTTAAAACAATTCTTTATTAAAAAACTGATAGGGTAACTTAAAGGAAAAAAAAAAAGAATTTTTCTTTAACCTAATTTTGATAATTTAGCAAAAACTCAAAATTATTCTCAGAAACAGGTCTACAGTACTCAAAATGAATTCAAAATTCATCAAAAAAACAAAACCTAAACAATACCTGAAGCAGCATCTTCAGCTAATGAAGTTCTAATACTAGGAGAGAAAGAAAGCTCTAGATAAATGCCAGCAATTATTCGTGCAGCTAGAGGTGAAGCTAAAAATATTTACAAGCAAAACTGTTAATCTTTTGCTACTAATATATCTAGTACTGCAATTTTAGGTCAGTACTGCAATTTTAGGTCAGTACTGCAATTTTAGGTCAGTACTGCAATTTTAGGTCAGTACTGCAATTTTAGGTCAGTACTGCAATTTTAGGTAAGTACTGCAATTTTAGGTCAGTACTGCAATTTTAGGTCAGTACTGCAATTTTAGGTCAGTACTGCAATTTTAGGTCAGTACTGCAATTTTAGGTCAGTACAGCATTTTTAGGTCAGTACTGCAATTTTTGGTCTGTTTTTTACTGCTTTTAAAAACACCACTTTTATCCAGACATTTTTTCAAAGAAAAAAAAAAAAGTAATATTTTTTTTCCTGAATCAATGTCCTTCATACAAAACATTGATCAAAACAAATCATAAGACAATGTTAGAATAAAGTTCCTGCAGATGTTGAATAATTAAATAAACTATATTTATAAAAAGAAATCACAACACCTTTCTTTAAAAACAAAATGATCTACAGCTTAACAACAATTTTCACACTTTTGCACTTGTATACTCGTTTATAATTATTTATTTAAAGATCATTAATAAGAATGTGTGTGCGTGTGTGTGTATTCTACAAATAGTTAATTATGTAAGTGTATTCTACAAATAGAGTGTTCAAGTCCTTAAAGAACAGAGCAATAATAAATTAGTAAAAAAACTTATCTAATTTTTTCTTCAACAGGCTGTTTTCCATGGGAACCATGCTGAGGAAAAAAATGTTCGGTATGAAAAATTTTAAGGATCAAAAATTATTTAGAGCTCGCTTATGACCATTATGTTTTTTCATGTTTATCAACTTAATTGTTAGATTATTAATAACATCCATCTTTTAATAATTTTTAAAAGATTATGAAATAACTCTTATAACAAGATTACTCTTGAAAATATTAATTTTCAAGAAAAAAGCCAAATCCTTTCACTGTTGGCTTATAAGTCCACAGCATTAACTGATTGCATAACAGATTTAGATTTAGAGCAAGGTTAGAAATGTTTTTTATTTTTGGATTTAGTAATTCTTATTTCTCTTGTCAATTCCCATGTCCCAGGTCAGGTCAGGATAATCAAGATCAATCTTGCTACTGGTATCATGTAACCCAGTACCACCTGCCACAAGCCCTGCTGCATTGCAGAGTGTGCTCTTCTTAGGCAAAGGCTAGGAGAAATAAACTCCAACTAAAAAGTCCCCTGCCTTGGGGCTCTTGGTTGAGTAAAGGCTAGAGATGGTGTCTCGATAAAAACACTCATCTTGGGCAGATGTTAACTGCATCCAGCTAAACATCCCCTGCCTTGGGGCTCTTGGTTGAGTAAAGGCTAGAGATGGTGTCTTGATAAAAATACTCATCTTGGGCAGATGTTAACTGCATCCAGCTACTGTCTTGTAAAAGGCCTCCTAGGCAAAGACTTTAGAAGTAAGCAGAAAAATTCTGCTAACCAGCTTCGAACCCCTTCTTCATCTATTAGGCTGGCGTAGATGTAACCTGTGTTACATTGTTTCCTGCCTAGGATGATGAATGCTGGATCTCCTTGACTCTACTCATAAAATTTTGCTTATGCCTCCTTGATAATGGCTATGCAACTCTTCCTGTTATCTCCATATGAGGGTACAGCTCTAAAACTCAGTTTAATGGTTCTGAGGCCGGCTGGTAGTAAGGTTTCCCGAACTCTGTGGTAGCTCTCAGAGAGGCTGATTCCATCAACAGCTGCAAAATATCAGAGTATTAACAGTGCCATAATGCGCATGGATGGTGTCCCTGTTAATGCTTTTGGTGTGCAATGTCAAGACCACATAAGGAGCCCTATGTTACGGCTTAGGGTTAATTAACAAATGCGACAAATGCGCCTCCTACGTAACCTCCTGGATTCAGGCTGGAATGAAAGCTTTTATTCCTTCGCGTCGGTTTCAAGTCAAGCCTCATTCTACTCCATGGTTTTCTCCTTCTTGTGCGGCTGCTATATCCAATCGTAATCATTTTTTTCATCTTTTTCAAAAGAACAACTCTCTTGAGAACAAACGGCTATTTATTATTGCAAGAAATTGATGTAAAAAGGTGCTTTAGCATGATGCTAAACTCCATTATTCCCAGTTCACTAAATCTCGCATCTTATCGCAGAAGTTAGGCTCTAAAGACTTTTAGGAAATCTTCAACAGCATTATTAACAAGGGTAGATCTAACATTCCATCTCTCATTCATGGGACTGATCTTATTACCTCTCCCAAGGATAAGGCAGAACTATTTGCAAAGAACTTTTCTTCTATTTCCACTCTTGAATTTTACGGACATTCTCTTCCTTCCATTCCAGTCAAACAAGTTGACCCATTGTTAGACATTCAAATCACTCCGGCTTCTGTTGCTAAAGTCATATCTCAATTAAACTTGTCTACAGCTTGTGTTCCAGACAACATTCCTGTCACAGACTTGCAGAATTGTTCTCCAGAACTTTCTTCAATTCTCTCTAAACTATTTAACAAGTGTTTGACTGAGTCTTGTTTTCCTGCTTGTTGGAAAATGGCATCTGTGGTTCCAATCCTCAAAAACTCTGGAGAAAATTCTGACCCCTCCAATTATCGTCCAATCAGTTTTCTTTCTGTTATTAGCAAGATCTTTGAGTCTTTGATCAACAAATTCCTCACATCTCATCTTGAGTCAAATAAACTGCTGTCAGACAATCAATACGGTTTTCGATCCTCTTGCTCTATGGCCAACTTGCTAACTGCTGCAACTGAAAGATTTTATCGTGCATTAGATGGAGGCGGTGAGGCTAGGGCTATTGCTCTCAACATATCTAAAGCTTTCGACAAAGTTTAGCATGCTGGTCTTCTCCATAAGCTTGCTTCATATGGTGTTTCTGGGAAAGTTTTTGAGATTATCAAATCATTTCTTTCTAACCGGTTTATTAAAGTCATCCTTGAAGGCCAACACTCTTCTTTATTTCCAATAACTTCTGGGGTTCCAAAGGTTCCATCCTGGGCCCTGTTTTGTTTCTTATCTACATAAACGATCTTCCTGACAACCTTTCATCTAAAGCAGCTCTTTTTGCTAAAGACTCAACTTTATACTCCTGTCTTGACAAAAAGTCTTCTCTTTTCGATCGCCTAGAACAAGCAGCTGATCTTGAATCCGATCTCAGTAATAGATTGGGGTTCACTGTGGCTAGTGAATTTCAACTCTAACAAAACCCAGTTGTTTACTGCAAACAACTACCGTAATATGGTCAACATTCCTATATTAATGAATGGCAATCCTCTTACTGAGTCCTCCTCTTTACGTCTTCTTGGATTATCGCTTACTACTGACCTTTCATGGAAACCATATATACAATCGATTGCTAAATTAGCTTCTGCTAAGGTTGCAATCGATTGTTCTCTTTATCTTGCTCGCCATTTCCTTACTTCTGATTCCATTCTCTACCTCTACAAATCTCTTATCCGTCCCTGTTTGGAATACTGTTGTCATATTTGGGCTGGTTCTTCTAACGATTCACTTTCTCTTCTTGATAAGGTCCAAAAACGTTGTAAATGTTGTTGGACCTGGACTATCTGCTAAGCTTGAACCTCTTTCCCATCGTCGTAAAGTTGCATCTCTTTCTCTTTTCTACAAATACTATCATGGTTACTGCTCAACGGAGTTATCATCTCTAGTTTCATCAACTAAAATTCATTTTCGTTTTACTCGTCATTCAGCTAAGTCACATTTGTTTACTGTATCTGTCCCTGCATGCTCTAAAAACTTTTATTCATCTAGTTTTTTTCCCCGCACTTCAATCCTTTGGAACTCTCTCCCATCTTCATGTTTTCCTGACTCAAACAACCTTCAACTTTTCAAGTCTTCTGTCAACCGCTTCCTTGCTCTATACCTCTGTTCTTTTTTTTCCTAGTAACTTAATCGTGGTTGCTTGCAGCCTTGTTGGGAGGGAATGCAAATTAAAAAAAAAAAAAAAAAATTGTTATTTGTTATTTCTAAGTAGAAAAGATATTTTTACATATTTTTTATTTTCAACCTAAAATAAGTATACTTTTTTCTAATATTTTTCAGAGACAATTTTTTTTTTTCTCGGCTATTAGAGATTATATTTACAAAATGTCAAAGAAGACTTGTGATGTCTTCTTCCTGGGAATGACATAAAAGGTAAACTACCAACTAGATGTTCTCAGCTACTTTCTACATCTTCACAAAATGAAATTGTTGACAATTAGAGAAGCATCAACTGAAGTGATTGAAAAAATTGTCAAATTTTGAGATAGAGCTATAATTCCTATGTGTTATAAGAACAAGATCATTAAGAGAGTTGAGAAATTTTACCAGCAATATGCTCTCCTCAAGAAAAATTGAAAAAAAAAAGCTTTCACAGAAGATCTGAAAAATCTTTTTGATGTTGCAAGAGCAAATTCCCTTTCTGAAATTAAAGATGAAGAAGACCATAATTTACTCCTGGCATAAAAGGAGCATGCAAGAAAGAGAGTTATGGGATCAATTGATAAAATAAAGAAGCACGCCTTGACCAAAGAAAAATGGAACAAAAAACAGGCAGAATAATGAATCAGAAATGAGTAATCCAGTCAGAAATATCTGACAGTAACAGTATTGGGAAAATATGTGAAGAGGATTCTACATCTCCAAATTGGATGAAGCCAAGATCGACAACATATAAAATAGGTCTACAATTTCAGACAGAAATGCTGTGTTTGTGCTGACAGAAACGTCTAGAGCACATGGACAAGATGTACAGGAACTGAATATAAATAGGTCCTCAGTATATAGAGAGTGCATAAAGCACTGTGCCAAGATTGCTAACAAACTGAAAGCTAAGTTTAAAACAGATGTTCCATTGATAGTTCACTGGGATAACAAACTAATGCAAGATTTGACATCAAATGTTCATATTGATAGACTGCCTATCATAGGCAGTGTTGCTTACTGTTGCTAAACTAACCAATAAAACTGGACAGT